CGGGGGCGGGGGGGGGGGTTCGGTCAGGTTGACGTCATCTGGTGCTCCGGAAGCTAAAGGTAGCCATGCTCTACGGAACCATGTCGTCAGAGGCATGAAGGGAAATGTTGCCAGAGTCGTTTTCCGCTGGGGACAGGAGTTGAGGGAGGGTCGATATTTTATGTAAATATAGTTTCCAGCCAACCCTTATTTATCTTGGGATTTTTTTTAGGCGGCTTCCTGTCACTTCCGCTCTTCCTTCACCCCAGGAACTATAAACAATACTCAGATCCAAGTTCCGGTCGGGCGTGTCTGACGCGCCTGTGTTATTTTCCGGAAATCTCAAGGGCGAGCGTCAGTGGCGCCTTTTGGGAGCCGTAGCCCCAGGCCACACCCTTCGCCTCGCGCCCTCCTCAGTGCGCATGTCAGGTGTGCGTCCCCCTCCCCCTGTCAGCAACGGGCCGTGAGGCGGCGGTGAAGGGGGCGGAGGAGGAGGAGTGCGGCAGGCCATAGCCCTGACCGCGCGTACTTCGCGCCGTGGGGTTCTTTCCGCCTACTGGAGCGCAGCTGCTTCCGCAGCCGAGCAGCAGGTTTGTGTAGGGCAGCTCCAGATGTGGGGTCTTGGGGCCTGGTGAGGCCCGAGGAACCGCGACCTCGCTTAACAAAAGAGCCGGCGGAGGCTCGGGGCCCGGGCGCCCGGGGGTGGGGGGAACGGGGGAGGGAGGAGCGCGCGGCCTGCAGCCTTGCGGCGGAGGGGGGGCATCCTTGCGAGCTTCGCTGCCCTCCCACGGCTCCCGCGCTTCTCACATAGGGACTAGGCCCACTTGGCGGCTTTCCGGAGGCGGCGCCTACTGAGCTCGAGGAAGGGATTTTCAGGGTGCGGGGCTCCGTGGGTGGGAGGGCCAGTGGGAGGATTCTAGCAGCATTTGGGAGATGCAGTCCCCCAAATTGGGGGTCCCCGAGAGCAGGACTTGACACATTAGAAGGCTGTGAAAGTCATTGATCGTTGTGAAACCTTGGGTAGATCGGTGATGAGCATCACCATAGTTACAAACTTTTGCGGCCTGCTTGAGAGCAGACCTGATGGGAGTCAATAATTTATGTGGATGGTAAGCACGTATCAGAAACATAGGAAAAAATGATCATACTAGTCAGACAGGGGGATCCTAATAGTTTTTCTGTCGTCTAGCGTTTCCCTTTTCGCCCGTCTTTAGGCTGTCATTCAGTTTCCTGTGGCTTCCGAGCATATCGTTTGTTTTTAACTGGGGTCTTAACTGTATCCTCTCCTGTATGCAGGTTCTTAGACGTTCAGAGGTGAAAATACTATTTATTTCCTTGTACCTGGACAGGTATTATATAGCCTTATGTGGGATACATTAAAACTATTACTATTCATTTTTTATTTTTGGTCTTTTTTGAGACAGGGTCTCCCTGTAGCCCCAGCTGCCCTGGAACTCACTATGTAGACCTAGCTGGCCTGGAACTCACCTGCTTCTGTCTCCCGAGTGCTGGGATTCAACGCGTGCCACCACGCCCTGCTAAAATTATTTTTTAATTGCCTCAGTACCTGTCTCTTTCACTGGCCCCGCTAAAATTATTTTTTAATTGTTGCCTCAGTACCTGTCTCTTGCACTGTTTAGATGTTAAGAAATAGATCTTCAGTCCAGTGTGGTGGTACACTTGTAATACCAGCAGTAGGGAGGCAGAGGCAGGCAGATCTCTGTACTAGCCCAGCCAGTGAGAAAGAAATAGGTCTATGATCCCTGCCCTCGTGAATATTAAAAAAAAATTGTGTGTGTAGTTGTGTGTGTGTGTACCACCAAACACATGTAGATGTGTGAACAACTTCTGGCAGTGAATTCTCTCTGTGCAGATCCTGAGGATGGAACTCAGGTTGTCAGGCTTGGTGGCAAGTGCCTTTATTTACTGAGCCGTTTCCCTGGTCCCCTCATGAAACCTAGTGAGTAATAGAGGTTAATGTATTGTTGGGCTGTGTGTTAGAGAATAATCAGTACCTTAGGAGGAAAAGGTAAATCTGGAAAGGGGATTGGGAGATAGGGCAATTTGCAATGGTCAAGGAAGCTGCTAATATTTAAGCAGGCTAGAAGCAGGTGAAGGAGTCTACCAGTGGAAGTATCTGGAAAAAGGAACGTTTTGGGCATTGGAACAGAATTCATAAAGGCCTTGAAGAGGACAAAGCTGGTTTGTTGCAGGAATAGTGTGTTTGGAGCTTTTAGCAAAGGAGGGAATTGTGGGAGGTAAGATCAGGAAGGAAGAGAGGTAAACAGAACAACCAAGGCCTTGTAAGCTATTATATGAGGATTTTATGTTCAGTCTATATGAAATGGGAACTGAGCAGAGTGGTTTGACTTAACACAGAATATTACAATTCATTCAGTATAATTTTGCATTGGAATAATTAGTGGAATCAGTCCTTAGTTTCATCAAAACTAGTTGGAAAGGAATGCTTATAACTATAACCCAGCATTTGCTTATATTTGGTTTTTGAAGAATGTGATGAAATTCTTGGCTTTTATTCAGCCTCTCATTATATTAAAGAAAGTGACAAAACTATAGAGTTTGAACATAGCTATTTTACTATTCTGTTACAATTTCCTATTAAAGAACTGGTATACATTATGGCAGATGAAAGCACATTATTAGAGTACATACTAATCAACTGTTACTACAGCACTCATGAAACAACCCCCACTTGTCAACTCAAAGTAATCTTGCTGTCTTTAGTTTTGCGTCACACTTAAATTTGAATCTCTGGTTTAAGAGATAAGATACCATCAATTTACCAATGGAGATATGGTAAATATAGAGTCTGCAAATATGTATTGAGCACTATGTTCCATGCTTTCTTAATTTTTTTTTTCTTCGTGAGCTTAGTTTTTTACTCCAAGCCTTAAAATTTTTGCCATTTTACGAATGAAAGAAAAAATGGAGCCCAGAGAAGCTAAATAACTTCTTTGAGATTCATGTCATTAGGGGCAGAACTATAGTTTGAACATAATCAGCCAGTGTTACTTCACTGTTTCCTACTAAACCATCCCATTTTGGTACCCAGATATACCAAGTAGGACTTTAGAACTTCTTGAATTTTTCTCCTTATTCAAGTTGTAGTTCCTCTTTAGTCTCATATTAAGCATGAATAATGAGTGTCTACTCTGAAAAACATAAGAGGTTAAAAGCGTGGTGGCACATGCCTTTAATCTCAACACTTAAGCAGAGGCAGATGGAGCTCTGTGAGATCGAGGCCAGTCTAGTCTACATAGTGAGTTCCAGGCCAGCTGGAGCTACAGGAAGACCCTGTCTCAAAAATAAATAAATCTATTCAATCATGAAACATGTAGAGTTTGAAATATAAAGCAATGCAAGTATGATTAGATGTCAAGTGTTTTGGGAAAGCAGAGGAGTTTGACAGAAAAGTAACTTTCTAGAGAAATCCTATTCATCTCCATACTCTTTAACTGTTGGTATTTAGTGGGCTTTGATGGTAGAACCTTGGTAGGTTAATAATTGAGCAGTTTAGTGGATAGGGAATCCAAAAACAGGCAAGAACACTTAGCAGAGTATTTGATTTTCTTGGGAGAAACCCTGAGCAATGTGAATAGTAAAGTCATTTACTGCCACAGTGGGAGTACCGTGTTCCAGACTGAATAGCTGGAGAGCTACTGAGTTGAAGGGGGCGATAGAATCATAAATTGGAAGGTATGAGGCCAGGATCTTGAAGAAGAGGGGTTTTGCTGTGGACTTCAATAAACTAGAACTTCCTTTTGATGTGATTCCTTGGTTATACAATACATTATGCTAACATACACAATGCTGTTTTGTCTAAGGAAGAAAAGGTTGTTTTCTTTTCTCCCTTTTTGTCTCATCTTTACTTCATTTTATACTTTCCTGCATAAAATTACCTTATACATTATGGAGTATTGCTAGTTGTAGGTGACTACAGTACATCAGGCATTCTTTGGAGCAGTAGAGTTGTGGCTACTATTGCCCTGGTAAGTGGCATTCATCTCAGAGAGTTACCCTCTCACTTCTTACCTGACTTGCTTTCATTTCATAGTACTTTTGCTACCTGAAATTACATGATGTGGTTTCTTTTTTCTCTCTCCCATATATTGAATTCTGAGTACTGTGGCTGTATCTGATTCCATTACTATATCCTTAGAAAAATTGCCGGACAGAAATAAGGACTCCATATATTTTGAGGGGTCTGGTAGTTATATAGAGGCTGGATAACTGTCAGACTTGTTAGAAAAAATATTGTAATAGAGTAAAGGTGGAAAGAAAGGTATTTCTTAGCACATTGCAGAAATTGGTTAGTGGTCAGTATGAAATAGTGGATGTTACTACTAAGATCTAACTTGTGTGTTTGTGGTTCTATTATATAGGTAATTCTTTTCAAATAAGATGTTTTAATTTTTTTCTAAGTTCTCCTTTTTTGTTTGTTTGTTTTGAGACAGGATGTATAGCTCTGACTAGCCTGGAACTGGATATGTAGACCAGGCTGGCCTGGAACTCCCAGGACTCCTGCCTGAGTTCCTGGGATTTAAAGGCTTATGCCACTATACCTGGCTTTGTTTAATCTTAGTGCAGAACTGATACGCTGTTTCCCACAGCTTACTGAACCATTTTACATTTCTTCCAGCACTGTGCAGAGGTTTGAGTTTCTGCACTTTTCCAGCATTGTGCAGAGGTTTGAGTTTCTCCGCTTTGCCAACATGCAAACCTTTTTTCATGCCAAAAAATATATTTAGAGCCAGGCATGGTGGCACACACCTTTAATTCCAGCACTGGGGAGGTGGAGGCAGGTGGATCT